TCACCAGAACATCCCATTACAGTGTCAACAAAATGCGTAGCCGCGGCCAGGAATCGAACCCTGGCCCTTTGCGTGGGAGGCAAAGGCGATAACCGTTAGGCTACGGCCGCGCTGCCTACTTGGCGCGCGGCAATATACCCGCTTCAAAGCGTTAATAAAGCTGCTTTTGCCGCTACTGAGGCACTCAAATAATGTCATTGATTAAGCTGCATATAGGCAACACGTATTGCACAAGTACCATGTTTTACATGGCTTGGAGCACTGAGAAAACATTGAAAAAGAGAACTTTATCTGGTGCTACGCCGCGGGCAGTGACGACATTTGTATATACGAGTATCCTACACTGTTCGGGGGCGGGACCAACAAGATGGCTAGGTTTCTGTGTTGTTGTTGGCCCCGCCGAACAGTGTAGGATACTGGTATATACAAATGTCGTCACTGCCCGCGGCGTAGCACCACATAAAGTTCTTTCCGTGCCTTGGTGGAAATGGACGCCCCAAGACGTCTCCTCCATATGAGGCTAATGGCAACCTGTCGTGGGTCCGGTTTCCCATGCTTCTCCGTGGGTGTAACGAATCTTTTTCAATGTTTTCTCAGTGCGCCACGCCATGTAAAACATGGTACTTGTGCAATAAGTGTCGCCTATATGCAGCTCCCTCATTGACATTATTTGAGTGCCTCAACAGCGGCAAAAGCAGCTTTATTAACGGTTTGAAGCGGGTATATCTCTAACGCGGTGTTTACGCTAGCTTGCGTCGAGGTCAAAGCATACGCGCCCAGCGAAAAGCGGATGTGCAGAGCTCTCATTGCAGCGAAACACATGTTTGCTTCCTCAATCTGGCCGGTGTGGGAATATACGACTGAATCGAATAGCACGCTTTGTTTTTAGCTTTGAAACTGGTAATGCGACGTACCCCCATTCAATGAAATGCTGGCCAAAGCGCTAATTATTAGGGTTTTTTAAAACAAGGTACGCAATTATGACGGACGCTGGTGCTTAAGTTAGCACTTTAACGTATGCTACGAAAGAAGGGTTTAGATTAGCGTTCTTCCACTGCGACGTGGAATCCCGAGCATCTCGCGCTTGTGACGCCACCAGGTTACGCTAACAATTTTTATTTCACGCACGAAGCGTTGCAATTAAAAACAAGTAAATGTTTTGTCTCAGAGTAACTTTTCAGGATAGTTTAACGATGAGAATGCGACGAGAATGGCCGACTGGTCGTGTCCGCTTGCGTCGCCTAGGCATGACAGGTATCGAGGTATCGTGTACTGACCTTCGTACATATACCCGACGCACGTTCCCCGAGAATTGTTCGCGGGTCGTGAGGAGCAAGTGGCCGGCGATCGCTGCCATTCTTGCTGGGTCCTCCGAGTCGGTCATGACGTGCACCTCCCGTAGAAATTCAATGTCGGCGTGTCTTAAAATCTGCAGTAGCGAGGATGCCGCCGACGCCGCGCTCACGACGGCTTCCAAAGGGGCCGCGGTCCTGGGAGCCGCCTTTTTCTGACTATGCGGGTCATGGCATTAGCAAATTTGCTGTGCATCACGAAAGGCACTCGAAAGAGCGCCAAGACTCATTGAGTACGCACTCAATTTCCGAAAAAATAGCATACGCTAAAATAGCGCACGCAGAGCGCGAAACGCGGCTAGCGTTCGGCGCATGCGGAGTGGCGTAGACGGTATCGTTCGTGTACGCAAAGCTTTATAATAATATTATTAGTTTATTTCCATTACACCTAATGATGGAGCCAAGAAAAAAAGCCGTGCTACGGGACTTGACGGGTTCTCGGCCTCAGTACATTCTGCAGAAGCTTCGGAAATATCAATATCCAAACAAGATCGTCCATATTCACGATGATTACGAAAAAAAAAGAAACTAAAAAACATCACTGAGCACCGTATTAGTCGACATGCCAAAATCATCAGAAAACGTCATTTTAAACTGAGAAAAAAATAAAATGAAACCCTATTCCCCTATTGCCCTGTTCTAAAATATTCTATAATATAGGCTCTCAGAAAAACAAATCAAAAGAGTAGTGGCGATGTCGTGAATCTCCGTTCGTAACGCTACGCACGTACGAGTTTCATGATAAAATACACGTACGTCACTATATTCCTTGTCACATCAGGACGCTTATGTAGACCGCGTTTCCCCCTCCGCTAAGCCTTCCGGAACGAAGAAGCCGCACCTGCGCCTGGGCTACAATGGCCTTGACTAAAGTACTCCACGTCACATTGTCTCCCACTGGAGGCACCGTCGGATGCAGGCATTCAAAGAGCGCCGAATGTATATCGTCAAGGTGCCTTCGTCTGGTTCGTATCACCGGCTAATCGAAACACGAAAAGTTAATGCGACGTGAATCGTTGCGGGTGCTGCGTTATGTATAGTGCGTGATTGTTTTAGTGCGTGAGAGAAAGAAGATCCACGAACAGGACGATCGCCCTGTCGATACATGTTTAGTATTGTTTAATTAGCTGCAGAGATTTCTTGCGCTGCCTAATCATATATACGCTAAATATTTTAACACCATCAATAATATTTTGGGCTTGTCCCGTAGCTAACACCCCTTATCCGTGTGGCAAAATACCTTAAGATGGTGGTGTAATTTTGAGCACATTTCGAAAAAGGTGGAGTGATCACACAGCCCAAGAACAAGGTGTTATAATGAAGCACCCGAACTATGAGGCATGCTTCTCTAACACTTGAAAGGGTGCGGCGTAATCAACTTATCGCACACTCGAAAATTAAAACAAATTTTAAGGGCTTTAACGTGCCAAACCAAACGACCGTCACGCCCCGGCGGGGGACTGAAGAATAATTTCGTCCACCCGGGAACCTTTCGACGTACGAACGATAACTCAGTTGCGCCGCACCTTCTGTGCAATAAGGGTCCGTCAGATTGCGGGCATCTCGGCTATTCGAAACCGACACTTCGGGGTACGTAGGCCAGCGCTTTGCCTCTGAACCACCAAGGCGGCAAACTTGAAAATACTGTGCTAGTCTTTAGGCCACAAGTAAGGAACCGTGCAATAAAGAAAGGGAAAGGCATTTGGGCTACTTCAATTGAATAGGGTGTGATTGTTCTATGTACTACTTCTAAGGACCTACGGAAAACGACTAAAAATGAGCACAATCGAATCTGAACCACTACGATATTTTATTCCAGGAGTGCCGTTCATTACTCGGTTTTACAGCGAAGCTGTTTATGGTTAGGGTTCCGTGGAAGTTTCGTGTGCGTCAACAAAAACTCCTTTTTGACCGCTAAATTTATCAGGAAAAATTTTCTAGCGGAAATAAAAAATGTCCGAAACAAATTTAGCGGGAAACTTTTTCAGCTATATTTGAGGAGGAATATTTTGAGCTAAATTTAGCGGGTAAAATTGACGTCACGTTACCTCAACAGCATATCAATTTCCCGCCAAATTTAGAGTTGAAAATGACGTCACCATTTCATGTGACGTCACCCAAATTTCCCCGCCGAGTTCAGCGGAAACATTTCCCCTCATAAATTAGCAGGAAAATTTAGCGGCACAGGAGAGGATGAGGGAACGGGAAGAGGTAGGAAGCTGACCGCCCTCTCTTTGTCGTCATTCCCAGCGCTTACGTACCTAGTTTACTTTCCTTCCTCCAGGTGGCGGTCCTGCCGCACGTGTCTCGTTTCCTCCTGATCTTGGGAGCGGCGATTGGCCGCGACATGTGTATGCGTATCTTTCGTCACGGTGACCACCGATCAAGACAATAAATCAGTTCGTACATTTGCTGGAAATTCTGTGTCACGTCTTTGTCGTGTGCTAAACAGATTCGCTGGTCGTCCACCTTCACAGAGTGGAATATCGTTGTTTCCTAAATTGGTAACGCAGCGCTTCGCTCTTTTGACTAAGTTTGAGCAAAAAGACGAAAGCAATCGCTAAAGAGAGAGTAGTTCATTAATATCGCGTACAAAATATCTCCTTCAACCTATAGATGTTCAAAAACTAGCCCGACTACAAGTTATTCTCCAGATTTCCTCATGCGCGTTGTCTTCAAAAGAAAATACACGGGCACATGCACACAGACTGCAGTATGTCAGGCATTTTTTGCAATTCTTCCGCTGCAGCGGTTCCTTCTGCCACATCAAGTGACCTCGTTCAAGACTCTACACAAGTTCACCCGCTTCTGTTGCATCGCGATAATCTAACGTTCTTTTCTCACAATTAAATAGAAGTTTCCTCTAAGCTTCAGCAGAGTCCCCGGGAAGTCAAAAATGACTTACTGCATTGTTGTTTTTTTGTGTTTTTGTTTCCTTTGAACCTTGTGACTGCATTTATAACGCGCATACAAATGAACCAACGCGATCAAGCGACAAAAGGCAGGATTGGCTTACTTATCGAGCGGAAGCACATCTACGTCATTCCCTCCTCTAGTGGCAGATTGACACGGTGAAACCAAATCGCGATAGACGTCCGAGGAATGTGTACCACCTGACCAGCACGTCACCAATTTCTACTTCCTCATCCACGAACACGCCTACTGAAACAACCAAGCGCCTTTTCACTCGCAGAATTTTGACGGAAGATTGACTAAAAAAGCGTTTCGCCTGGCAACCCCTCAACGTTTTTCTTTTTTGTTTTTACAAGGGAAGCAAACATTTTGGGTCATGTTGATCTTCGCGAGTTTAGTGGTGCGTTTTTACAAGTGAATCTTGGTTTAACGCGTGAAAGAAGCTGCAGGAACTTTGCTTGGCTCACGCGTCTCGTGTTCCTTTTGATTTTACGACTCTCGAGCATTCGGCCAAATAAATAAATAAGAAATACATTTAACCAACTCAGTATGTACGATAAGAAAGCTGAGTAAGCTGAGATTTCAAAAACTTCTTCATATATATTTTAATGAATATTCATATATACATATATAGAGATGTCGTTTGCCACTCTAGGTGAAGCACTCGCTATTTGATTGTCTATATCTGCACATATACTAAAAGTATGTAATTAACATAAATGCCGAATATTGCAGCCAGAAGGCAGGGAGCTTCGAAACATCTAAGGACGGCGAGGAAGGTGCTCCTCAGAAGCTGGAATTCGTTCTTGGGCCTGACACCTTACACGACATAGAAAAAGCAAAATCGTCCCATGCAAGGTCAGTATACAAGCTGCAGGACCAATCGAATATCACAATGCGGAAAGCAATGCATATATGGACGGTCTAACTGTCGACGTGCCATAAATCCTGCAGGAACACTTACTAAAATGTGACGAATAAAACGAAAACTATTTTAAATATACATTTGCTTTTTGAGCATTGTAGCTTCATTTTCGCAACAACACAATAGGGGCATTAATACAGATTTTTTTATATCTCAAACATCCTGAAGATTCCACAATTAATGCATACAGTGGCGACAATGTTCGTTACGCTGTAAAACAAAATTTAAACATCGGCTTCAGCGCATAGAAAGCTCTACCCTTCACCAAATGTGCAGCTGGATTTTGATTTTTTTACAATTTGAACTTCTTCATCTAGTGGTTCTTGTTTTCTAAAAAAAAAAAGATGAGACTAATTAACTTGACAGTCAAAGGAATAAATTGTTGTTTGCTATTTCTCAATAACGGAAGCGAGCAGACGACGCCCTTTGTTGTCTGCTAGGTGCGGCTTTCAGGAGATGCCGCCGAAATTACATTGATAGTAAATTTGTGTCTGAGATCACGTCCGCCATTCACCGGGGAAGTGTTTTAGTGTCATTTGTAACAGAAAGAGAGTTACGGTCTTCGAACTTCCCAAGGTAAAATGCACTACCCAATTGCACATTTCCTGAAGGGATGACTTGTCTAAATACAGGCGCTAATTTTTTTCGTCTGTTTTACAAGGCACGAAAAACTGGCCATCCTGTGGTATAGCCATATACGACTGGAGAACTACTTGTCGTAATTTATTGCATGCACACAGGAGTCTGCAAGTAGGTCGTAGATATACATGGCGTTCACTGACATTACTTGTCGAGATACTAGGAAGGAAGGGCGCGAGCTTCCGCTGCATATAACGATGCACTTCTGGTCACCAGAAAAAAGGGTGTACTGATGTCACGTGCACGCCATGTATATGGCGAGGTCCAGAAAAGACCTAGTCAGGTTTCTGTCATTATGGAGTGAATTTTCATTTTTATATTTGTTATGCTGCCTCGTCCTGATTTCACCTCTCTACATTTGTCAGAGATGGGAGCCATATTGTTCTTCAACAGCAGTTCGTGTAAAATGCTACTTTAAAAGAAAGAGAGCATGTAGGGTAACGAGCTGAGGATACTGATTCAGGATGCTGTAATTATTAATAATTACGGTTAACACCACAGATATACTGGCGGTACTGAAAGGCTCTTCTATCAATTTTCCAACTATGGAAAAAAGTTCATCCAGTCGTGCAACATGAGTCCGGACGGCTACACGCAGATGGCCATTCAACTGGCGGCCTTCAGGTAAGAACACAATGCCTTGCGCGCGTAATGCAAAAACAGTGAGTGCGCAGGCGAGTTGGCGGAAGTTTATTATGATGTAGAATACCCGAGACTATTTAAAAACTGAAAAACTTGGTCGAAGAAAAAGGACAGGGGAAAAGAACGTCTCAGTTGAGACGTTCATTTCCCCTGTCATGTTTCTTCGACCAAGTTTCCCAGCTTTTACCACGGTCTCGGGTATTCAACATCATGCGCGTAATGCGTTGTGCTCTGAAATTTTGGTTACACATTGACGGCGTTCATTTTTTTCCGAATTTGCGGTGTTTTTTTTTTAATTTAGCGTTTTTCAAATAGATTATTTCTTTTTTTGTGTCGAGGTAATGATGTGTGTTTATCGATAATTCCGTTGAAGAACGGGAGCATAAGATTCCCTAACTTCTAGAGAACGGGCTTGGGATCCGAATATATCCCGCTACCGATAACATAAGAGAACACGTTAAGGGCTACCGTTGCGAAAAATAGGAACAGCCTCAGTTTGGGCTGCGTTCCGCCTTAACATTGAATAAAACAGTAGGTAGTCATTTCTTCCTGCGAAGTTTGGGAATCTACGATTCGTGTGCTAGTCCTTAATGTTCGCATGCCCTTAATTTATTCTAGTTTCGCAAATTGAAAAACTTGCGGATTTTAGGAGCAAGCAAAAATTCCGGTATTTAAGAGTTTCTTTGCATGCATCTGGAAATGGCGAAACTTAATGGCCGGGAATATGTCCTCTGTGACCGATTCGCGAAAAATAGTGGCCGCTGAAATAATGGGTTTTACAATGTCTGTTTTCGGAAACACATCAAGGATATGGTTGGTTTCTTCGGAATCACACCCTTTATCTCGTTTCCTTCTCGTATCGCTAGCGAGACGTGTTCGGATCACGGGCATGTTCCCGAGTGATTGGGAAATCTCATGCTCGAGTTCCGCTTTTTTCAACATAATCCTTGATAAGCACCGATCGTTTTTTCTACGCCGCAAAATGAAACTAACGAACAATAAATCGAAATAAAAATAAATAATAATAAAAAAGTGCTTCATAACTAGAATGAAGTGGTACCCCGAAAATACGGCACCTTACCTATAGGTGCTGGCTTTCAAACCTTCGTTTGAATACAACCGGGCGCACTAAATCTATTTTTATGTCGTTTGTGACTGTTTACAACAGGCTTCGCTGCATCGAAATCGGTTGCAGTGCTATCACTGCGATGCCGCAGCCTCTCATCAAGAGGTGGCAGTTTCATTTGCTTTGTCACAAAACCTTGGACCTCTCAACATTTCATATACATTATATATGATGTTTTTGAATGATGAAAAAAGTTACAAATGGGTGAATATAAAGTGGTATTTTACTCATTGTTAAAACATTTTGCATACATCGCTACATCAGCAACCATCCGAAAACAAGAAAAAATGTGAAGCTCAAAGAGATGTTCAACATTCAGAATTCCCTACTCGTTGTGACGTTGGTGATTTTACGCCTTGGAGAGTTCCGGCCTTGTCTACGTGTTTCTTTCAGGTTAAGGAATAGTCCGGTGATATAAGAAACTTTCTACAGTTTTGCGCTGATCACGTATAAAGCTTCTAAATAATGTTAGATATCAGATTTATTTGATTAAGAAACGCCCCAATATTCGTTCAATGAATTATGGACATCAATATGAAACGTGACGCCAAATGTCACAACAAATGCATGGCTGGTCTTGTCGTGACGCCCCATGAGGCATGGTAACGCCAGAGCCGGAGGCGTTGAATTGTTTTCGGCTTTGATTAACATGGTCAATCTTGCGTACAAAGATCGTCGTCGACGAATTCAGCTTTCATCGACACAGTAAATCTTGTATTTGTAGGAACAAAGGTATTTTACCGAGACCGTAATCAAGAGCTGTCATGGCTCCCTTTGAATGACGTTACGTCAGAGCCTTCCGCTGTTACCAAAGCAAACGCTGTGTGTTTTCCGAGTGCCATCTCAGCAGTTGTGTTCTGTTTAAAATTAAATTACTTGCACGGCGAAGAATTAAAAACTTGGATAACATGCGGATAATATTACCAAAAAACACTTTAACTTAATTGTTTTCTGAAAGACATCTTAACGGACAGTGCCTTTAATTCCAACCTACAACCCGACGATGTGTTTGCGTTTGTCTTGCAAGTAGCTTCAAATGCGCCAGTGCAAGAGTTCTGTATTTCGAGAGGTCCTTGGAAGGAAATGGCGGTAGGGCTCCCGGTAGTGGCACGTGTCATGCCTGTTTCCTCAACAATAGTTGGCGGTATTTTTAACAAACGCCTTTGTGAAGGCGCTTTAGTCCAGTTGTAGCCGACGCTACGAGCTGATTGGTTCAAATAGGCAGCGTCAAAGGCAGACCATCTTTGCGTTCGTCATGTTTCTGTACGCGTTCTATCGTCGCTGAACCATTGGTAGACAAAAAGAACTCAATGATTTGTGCTTTTCACTTCGCTTGATCGGTTCAGTTAGCTTGTAGCATGAGCTACGTCTGGACTTACGCTGAGGCAAAGGATAACTGGTGTTTGGCTGCGGCGTCACAAAAGAGCCGACGCCGTCGAGCGCTGTTGTGACGCGCGTTCAATGGGCCAATCAAGGCACCACGAGCTTCCCTCTATGTTTCGCGCCGTCTTAATCTAAAACGTTAAACCGGCCGGGGTATACGTCCTACTACGAGAAAAGTCCGCGTCGTTATGCCCGAATGATAGTCACACCATTACCTGATCAAGCACTTGTCGCTAAAGTTCAAAGCGGGCGAGCCTCAGAAATAAAACACAACGAAAAGCACAGCAGCGCAAAAGCTTCGTCATTGCAGCCGGAGTTGGTGCCGCGCCTGCGCAGTGGGGTTGCGTTATGTCATCGCCAGAGCGCCGGATGAAAAAAGAAGAGGTGTCGCGCTGCTTGCAGTAATGCGGTGCGTGTAGGAATGCATACGCAAGCAGTTTTAAGGCTCGTTCTGTAACATTTTGGCTAGGAGTTGGTCATTTCCTGAACCCCAGATACAAGTGAAGCCCGGATAAAAGCGTGGCCGTGAAGCTCGAAACCTGGAATCACATAAAAACGCTTTGGAGCCAGGCGCGCATCTCACCATACCTTTTGATTCATTACGAAAGCTTATTTCCAGCACGTGACGACACATCGCCTTGAGTTTAGGTGCTATAAACGTGAGATGTTCTTTGCCTGGGTGTTTGGCATTTTGTGAAGCCCAGATGAAACGTGGCCGGGAGGCTCGACACTGATTGGTTGGCTGGTGGGAGAGGAGGAGGGAAGTGCTCGACGCTGATTGGTTATCGGGGAGGTCATCTGACCAGAGGGGTAGCTGAGGAGGGGTGAGGTAGGATAGGAGTCATAAGAGTAGCTAGATCACCTCTGCGCACTCTCGGAGAAGAGCTCGCAAGTATGGAAGGCGTTGGAAGATCGCCAAGTTTATCAGTTCCGATTAATGGTAGTATCGCTTCGTTCTAGGAAGAACTATTAGCCGAGCACATAATACGCGTTGATGAGGGGTGCCGTGTAGGTAGGAGTCCGGCGATCTCTAAACATCTCTAAACATTAGTGTCTCTAAACATTAGTGACGCTAGAACGTCTCCTGTATTCTACACATTCGCCTGGTATGTATTTTTTGGTGGTGGGGGTAAGTCAGTATCACATAGAAGAAAAGACCTGCGCATAACTTCATCGTTATTGGAGCCAGGTCACAAGCGTCGATCAAGCCGAAGCTCGATTTGTGAACTCCGCAAAGTGGCAGACGATGGATGCTGCGTCATTGAGAACCGTTAAATAGGATGCTACTGCACTGAACACCACTTATATCTGGAGAGCGAAAATGGGGCGTGGAAGAGGCTGATGTCTGGAGAACACCCTTTTTGAAGGAAGTTTGCTTAACTGCACCGATTTAGCGATCATTTAAAATAATTTACACTTCTACCAATGCTTTTTACTTGTACACATAGTGCTTGAACTTAAATATAATATGCACTCCCTCTTGAATATTACACTCAGATGGCTCATTTTCTCTAGCGTCAATAATTTTGGCGAGCCTTGGACAGAAGTTATGTTTCTGGCTCGCAAATTAGAAGAAGTTTCTGGTACATCGACATGATGCAAAACTAACGATATGCCAACGTTTATACCCAATCTCGTTGCACGGACTCTCTTAGCTGCAATGTGTCGCGCAGTCCATGAAAAGCGGATGATTCTGACTACCTTAAATGCCACCGGGAATAAAACTCTTCGTGCCACATGCTATATACTGCACCCCACTCATTAAACATAATCATCATAATTGAACCGATTTGAAAATTAGTCTGCCGGTCTCGACGCTCTCAACTGAAAAAGTATCTTGGTGCTCATCAGTATCACAATGTTCAGTGCTCAACAAAACGAAGTGGACCAGCTGAGTGCGTGGCCTCGCTAAAGTAACTGCGTATGCTCAGCTCTAGGAGCATTTGCAGTTACTCTAACGTATAGGCTACTATAAATAGTTACTTTACTCTAAAGTTCTCATATGGCCCGCCTTCAAGATCCTCCAAGTATCTCTGGCGTAACTGTGTACTCACGAGTCCACACGCTCAGGCTCCACTGGTTCATTTTGTTTCATTGAGCACTGTACTTTTTTCTTCTTCTTGTGTACACTTTAATTTATTACATATTTCAAACCTGACGTCACTCCCCTCTTTATTGCTTTGAGTATTTGCTGTTTTTTTTAGAGCGCAGCTCTTAGAGGCCCGTTTCCGGCTTGAGCGGCGTCGCCGTCGGCGTAACCGCGAGGTCACGTGAACCCCCCCCCCCCCGAGGTCAGGTAACCCTCTGAGGTCACGTGACCCCCTGAGGTCACGTGATCCGCCTGAGGCCACGTGACTCCCTAAGGTCGCGTGACCCCCTGAGGTTACGTGACCCCCTGATGTCACGTGACCCCCTCCTGAGGTCGCATGACCCCACTGAGGTCACGTGACGCCATGAGGTCACGTGACCCCTGAGGTCACGTGATCCCCTGAGGCCCCATGACCCCTTTGAGGTCATGCGACCCCCGTGAAGTCACGTGACCCCTGAGGTCACGTGACCACCTGAGATCACGTGACCTCCTGAGGTCACGTGACCCCCTGAGGCCACGTGACCTCCCTGAGGCCACGTGAACCCCCTGAAATCACGTGACCCCTTGAGGTCACGTGAACGCCTGAGGTCACGTCCCCCTGAGGAAACTCGACTCCCTAAGGTCACGTGACCCCCCGAGGTCACGCGACCCCCTAAGGTCACGCGGGAGGGGGTCACGTGACCGCATGAGGTCACGTGACCCCCCTCCCCAGAGGTCACGTGACCCCCCTGACGTCCCACGACCCCCCTGAGGTCACGTGACCTCAAGGTGTCACCTATCGCTTAGCACGCTTCCACCCTCCTACTTAAGAGCTGCGCTCTAACCGGCGTTACAGGGAATTGTAAACGGCTTTCACTTTTTGTTTTTTATACATATTACATCCACTCTCGCTTGCAGTATTCCGTAAAAACGGTTAACTTATTTTGCACCAGAACGTCTAGTAATTTACTCGTTGTCCGCACAGCAGACTGAGTACTTGTTAATGCCAAACAGAATACAGAAAGGTTGACGCAGGCGTTTCTGAAAGTGATCGTACATATAAAGTTAAAAAATATGTAATCGCTGTTAACTTTATCTCAACTTTAAAAATTGTGTTGATTCACTTATGTGCTTATTTATCGTGTTCGTGTTCTGCAAAAAGGTGTGTGTGGGTCTTTCTGTTACCAGGTGTACTGGCACCGCGGTCATGGCGTATGGAGCGGCTTCGGCTCGCCAATTCCTTTACGGACGAGCTGATGTATTTCATTCCTCCTCGAAAGAAAGCCTATCATTCTGCAAGGTCTTTGATAACCCTTTATCAAGCAGGGAAGAGAAGGAGCAGAGCTTGAGGAAAGCCGTGGAAAGATGCAAGCAAGAAGCCGTTTTTGTAAGTTTGCGAGCGCTCTTTTGAGCGGATAGACAATTTTCAGTGGCAAAGAAACGTAAATTATATGTGATTGTTTGTTTAGAAATCTTTTGATGTAACACAGCGTGACATCTGCGGTGTCTGTAGAGTACTGCAATGGCCAACTTTGGTCAAACCATACATGCACCATTTGTTTAAAGTTTAAACGCGAGAAACAATTGAGTTTCAAAACTTTGTAAAACTTGATGCAAAAATGTATTATCCATCCTTCTAATACTTTATCCAAGTAAAAACTGACGTGTGATAGAAGTGCAAACAGCGTAGAAGACAAAATACAAAACTCAGTTGATAGTGAACACTCCATGGCTGGTTCATTTTTATTGGTTTGTGTGTTTCAGTGTGAATTGTTCGTGTACGCTGTAGATTATACTAAACAAAATACCCTTATCTCCAATTGTTTTGCACATAAACATTTGGCTGGTAATTTGATCCGTCTTTAGCTCTGTCGTCAATGTCATACCAACAGAGAGGTCAGGTGATTGAGGCGGGATTTAATTCAGGTAAATGCCGATTTCAGCGCTGAGCGAACAGTGGGCTTGAGTAACTGCAAGTAAATCAACTCAGCTGCGGAACTACTCACAGTCGTTGCTTCCACGCGCAGTACGACCATTTCCCCTAAAGGTTCGCCTCCCGTAAAGTTCTTTCATGCACCAACTCAGCCCCTCGCCGTCACGCGCCTGCTGTGGTTTTTTTGTCGGCCCTTCACATGCGAACACCCTTTATCTCATACGACTCTAGTCTTCACGCAATCACTGTGACCACACGTTATGTGAGGAAACGCGGACTTCTATGTAAACATCGTGCTCGTGTATAGCCTCTCGCAGAGCAATATATACCGGGAGAGTTTGATTCTTTGTTTTACGCAAAAATACTCCAGAAACCAGACAAAGACATTATAACTGTAATAACAAAAACGGCTTGAAACATCAAAATAGCAATTTAATTACTTGTTTCGCCTCCTAAGCGGGAGGCATTTTCAGTGATGCAAAGAGAAAAGGAGGGTTTCCCGGAAAGTTCGGCTATTTAGGTATCAAGTTTGTGTACCTATCCGGTAGGAGGCCACAGTTCTTTTTGACCAGAGATTTGTCACTTTCGCGTTCGTCGTTCGGGATGAACAAAGATTCCAGCAGCTTTGTCGGTCCCCACCTTTTATCCTTCGCCAAGGTCGATGCTTTTTCAAAGTCAAATTTGTGGCCTAAGGTCCATGCGTGGTTGAAGAGTTCAGATTTAAAGTGGGAGGCGTTCGTGGCCTTGGCGACGTCCCGTGCGTTTTTGTTTTAGTCTTGTTTGTTTTTTTTCGTCCCGCCTCTCCAATATTGGGAGCGTCACATTCCTTGCACTGCCCCTGGTAGATCACACCACTTTCTGTCTCTGAATGGATAGTGTTTTTGGCGGCGAGATAATCTAGGAAATTGTTGTGTACTGTTTGTATATGGTACGTACCCCCAACGGCCTGAGCGCGCGTCCCAATGCCTCCGAAACCCCGTTAAAGGGATACTACAACGAAATTTCGGCGCTTATTTTTTGGTCCATATGTGTTCAAAGGAACAGAATCATATAAGACACGAATTAAACGATTAGCAAAGAGCACCTGGTGGTTGTCGCTAACGCCTCGTTGGTAATGCCAGTCTAGGAACCTTGGCAGATAGTGACGACACTTGTCTCGCCTCAGGTCACGACGAGAGAAGAGGGGAAGGATTAACTCCCCTATTTTTAAAAATCCCTTTTGTGTGACCCAGAAGTCTCTATTGTCCCTCTGCAAGATTATAGAGAATTAACCCGTCACTCAAAATTCGTACAAAAGCAGCCGCTTGGGTGACTGGAATATGACAAACATGGCCTACGGAAACACGCCAAACTCCGAAATGGTGCACTTTTGATCTTGTTTAAATGGTCGCGTAAGTTTGTAGAGTTGCCTGCGTCTGGACTTAAGGTGAAAAGTAATATACAAACCGCGCGAGGGCTGGATAAAAGGAAACACTGCAAGAGAAAGGCAGCACATCAGCTGAGTGGCTCTGGAAGAACATCGTACCGGTGTGAGGTCGTGTATCACTACTGCGTGGTGCATGTGAAAGACTCAAGGCTAGCGGTTGTACCGCACCAGCTAAATTGATCATCTACAGATAAGGCATCAGACGCGCAATGAGGCAGACTAACTTCTACTGTTTAAACATCCAAAGACCAATTTACCAAAGCCATGGGCGTAGCAACCGGGGGGGGGGGGGGGGGGGCAAGAGGGGCGCTTGCCCCCTCCCCCTCCCAGTTCTCAGAGTGGGAGGGGTGGGCAAGGCAAGGCACGTGTTTTGCCCTCCGTGAAGCAGCCGCGGCTGGGCAGGGCAAACACTGGTTGGCGACGCCCAAGGATTATCTAGGCAACCGCCCCAAGGCCCGGGGTGGAGTCTTGTTTGTCCCCTCCCCCCCCCCCCCCCCTCCCACACACTTAAAAGCAAGTTGGTACGCCACTGACCAAAGCGCTCGCGCACTTCAGCGTTCGCCGTATTAGCGGAAATCTGAGGACAGATTTAAATAGAAGCTCAAACACTTCTTGAAAAAAAAACGAGTTGGAGGTGAATTCTAACGTAGTTTTATCCCGTGAATCTGAATATCACGGACGTTTTGGCCGAAGATGTAACTAAATGCGAAAACACGACAAACTGCGACCAGTCGTGACGTCATACAAGGATCTCTGGGCTGCCAAGCACGTGTCGCTCGTGTGGGCAGCGCGTGCCATCGCGAGCTCACCCGGTACATTCTCCCCTCAATTACACCACACTCTAAGACAAAATAGAGGAAAAAGGTAGCAACAGCGCGTCTTCCTCCCTCCTACTCACGCGCCCCCAATCGGACACGGGAAAAAAGGAGGAACGAAACGTTTTTCTCCTTCTCCAGGGCCGGTTTTCTCGAAGCGATGGTAAACCCATTTTGGTAAACCACGGTGCCTAGAAAGGAAAAAGTACCTAGGTACTGTAATAAGCGGCTGGATATAGAACACTAATTATATTTGATTGGGCACTAAGTTGCGCCATCTATCGGTGAAACAAGCCAGTCATTTTTGTTTATCCTCTTTTTCTGCTGGTTGTTATCGATCTAGTATGCCATTATACGTCAAAATATAGTAATGTTGTACTTGAAGACCAATTTATTTGCTTCAGATGGTACGAAGAAACTTTAGCTACTATGCTAGAGTTTGTCGACGGATATTCGAAAATGTACGAAACATTTCCTTCAATATCTTTCGCCATAAACAACGCATAACTTTCACGTGTGCCTTCCAGTCTGGCAACGCCGGTGTTGTATTCTCATTTTTGTTCCTTGCGACGCGCGTTTCTGCGATTCCTGCTGATCTCAACTGTTTGCTTTCTCTTCCGTTTTCCCAACCGATCCACCGGTGACGAGAAGCTAAGCTTCTCGTTACCGTTGAATTGCTGGCCACCGGGGATATGTAGAAACCTCGATGCTGTCGGCATACTGTAGGCGCACTGCGAACAAAAAAAAACAGTACAATGTCTCAGAACGAAGACTTTATCAAGGATATTTCCCTTTCTCCGCAAAGTAATCGCTGCTCACGAGTCGGCATGCATAGTGTAACAAATTAAACGTGTTAGTATAAATACATACCAACACTCGTTCGCAAAACATTTTTTTTACTTACCATAAAAACACTTGCAAGGCCTATGTACCGTCATATGTCTTGGATTACGGACTGATGAAGAGTGATCCATTCGCGGAATGCTGCCGTCGGTTAGTTTAGTAGTCCCTCTGAACTACCGCTTTGATTGATGTGCTAATAGGTTGATGGTGCGTCATTAATATAACAGCCGGATCGAAATTAATGTTCAGCAGAACCAAGCAGAACTATTAGCTCTCATTAAGCGACGTCGCGGCCATTTTGCTTGTAGGCACTGCTCCTCCCTCGGCGCCCCTGCTCTCCCAGTCACGTGACCTAGAATTCCCCCTTCTAGGGACAATAGTTAACTTTAAACCACGGTTCGCGTTCGAGAAAACAAGCCCTTGTAGACGGACGAAAGCTTTCGCCCTCCAGACTCATCTTCTTTTGAATTCGTTTTTCGAGCAGGTCGGGCACGTTCTTTAATAAATGTTATTGATTTGATTGAGCTTCAGTGGTAGCAAAGGCCACCTGTACTTCCGTCTTCTAGTCCAAAGGTGCAGAACATTTCGGTTGCATTGATATTTTTATCACTAGTTTTATTAAACGAGCAAACGAAGCCGCTAGAAACAGCGAAGTTCCGCATCAGTGCCAGCTGCCCTACATACAGTGGGCGAGCCGGCCGTCTCCGGATTGCGGAGATTGCGAAAGCCAAGCGGAACTACAGTAACGGAACCACGCGGAACTATGTCGGCGTTTTCGACGTTATAGGAATCACAGGAATCACAGAAGTGCTCCATTTACATCATTAGTTTGTTTTGTTTTCCCAATGAAATGAGTTTTTCCTTCTTCGTATGCTTCTGTTTGTGATAGGGTACCTTAGTGTTTATGTACACTGCGCAACACCGTTAGCGGAAACAGTCAATCCTGTTTTTTTCACCTTAAATTCGAGGGGCTCACATCAACCTATTGGTGTGTAATGAAGCGCTCGTTTGGGGCACTGTTGTGCCACTAGGAGGAAAGACGAAGAAGTGAGGCAGTGGGCGCGAGCAGCAGAAGCGGTTGGGATCCTTTCGAATCAGCTCAAGCATCCGGTCTCGGCGAGGCACCGAGCAGGGGAACGAGGTCTCGGCGACGCACCGACCGAGGGAACGAGCTCTCGGCGACGGAACGAGCAAGGGAACGAGGTGTCGGCGACGCACCGACCCAGGGAACGAGCTCTCGTCGACGCACCGAGCAAGGGAACGAGGTCTCGGCGACGCACCGACCCAGAGAATGAGCTCTCGGGGACGCAGCAAGCAAGGGAACGAGGTCTCGGCGACGCACCGACCAAGGGAACGATCTCTCGGTGACG